TCATTGGTCTTGCAAAATTCATGCAACTTCTAGCTCATTTCTGTCATTAAGACCATATTTTCCAAGTGTAGATCCTTTGTTTCCAACTTTTACATTCCAATTACCAATCATTATCAATGCATCTTGATGTATTGAAATACAATTGATTTTAATTTGGTGTATTGACCTTGTAGCCTTTGTTACAGTGACATGTTAATTCTAATAGCTTTTAATAGATTCCTTAGACTCTTCTCCAAAAACATCATGTTGTTAGCAAAAATAGAAGAGTTTACTTCTTCCCTTCCAATCTTCATGCTTTTCATTTCTTGTTCTAGTTTTGTTGCGCTGACACACATATGCACAGCACAATGTTGAACAAAAAAAGTGAGGGTGGATATTCTTGCTTATTCCTGCTCTTAAGGGGAAAGAATTTTGTCTTTTATCATTAAATATGATGTTAACGATATATAGAGTCTTTTATCAGGTTGAAGAAGTTCCCTTATATTCCTTGTTTTATGAGAGTTTTGCTTTCCTTTTTTAAAAAATTATGAATGGGTATTAATTTTGTAAATGCTTTTTCTGTAACCATTAAGATGATCATATGGTTTTGGGGTTTTAGTCTGTTAATATAATGATTTTATTGCCAAAATTTTGAATGTTGTGCCTCCCTTACATTTCTAGGTTGCACTCCACTTGGTCATGATGTATTACACTTTTAATAAATTGTTAGGTTTAAATTGCTAGTTTTTAAAAGGATTTTGGCATCTATGTTCACACAGAACATTTGTAGCGTCAGAAGAGATGGCAATTTAATTCTTAGAACATCTTTTTCTTTAATATCAGGGCTCCCCCTTTCCACAGAACAGCCTAGAAACTGACCAAAGACAGTGAATTGGGTAGTCATAGAGCTCAATCCATCTTCTCCCATCTATCAGGGGTCATGATCCTTTGCTGTCTGTTGTCCAAGGTATGCAAACAATTGTTCCATAGATTTTGTCTGCTTTCCAGTTTTTTGTGGAGGAGGGAAATTCCCATAGAAGTTAATTTTTCATGAGGGGAAGCAAAAGTCTAGTTCTTCTATATAGTGTTAAAAAAATTTTTTTAATTGTTAGG